ACAATATCCCCAACAATCAACATCAGCCCAGCAGGAGAGAAATGTCATAAAATACCAACAAGGTGGAAAAGACACAAAAGCAGTATAATGCAATAATTTATTGATAATGTTTCACCCCAGACAGAGAGCTTTATCAAGTCAAAAACAGATCTACCTGGGAAGAAAGGCTGTGTATATGTATAGTGAGAGTAGAGCAAATAAGTAAGAAAGTTTATTTAGGCACAGGTACACTTAAGTACAATTAACATACATAGTGTAAGTTACCTAGGATAACCCAAAAAAGTCAAAGTGACTTACTTCCATTGGGGTCCTTGACCTGAAGAGTGATTTATGTTGAAAAATTTTGGGTAGACTGATGACAGAGTGTATATCAAAATGGTATACAATACCGACAGGTTGGTAGGTAAGACACTGCTCTTGCCTACTTTCTGTACATGACTGAAGAAGCCTACTGTGTAGGTGAAATGTTTCAGAATAAAGTTGCCTAACTGTTGCCTAAGTGTCTTACCTATCAGACTGATGACAGGTTATACAAATATATGGCTGAGAGGTTGAATTCAAGAAGGACCTGTATAATATGGAGCAGGAGGCCTGCTGCAGTGTTCCTGTGTGGGATAGCGATGAAGAAATTTCTTGGTAAGAGGTTCACCTTCGTTATAGGAACTGTTGCTCTGGTTATATTTGTTTGATGTGCTGATTAGTGATGATTCCAGAATCTTGTGTTTTGAAGTGTTGTTGCCTTTAACAGTGAATTGTGCACCATTATAATTGATCAGGTAGTTGTGCTTGTTTCTGTGAGAAACACAGGCATTGTTCAAGTGGTCCATCCTGCTAGCATATTTATGTTCATAAATGTGAGTGTGGAGGTTTCTTGATGTTTCTCCCATGTATATTTGGTCACAGTCTTTGCAAGGGATTGTGTCTACCCTTGCTGTGGTTTTGTTTTGGGAGTGTCCCTTATCCTCAACTCACCTAGACAACACACAACCAGAAGATACATATTTCTCCCTAATAACTCTGTGGTTTAACACATCTTCGATATTATCTCCAACACCAAATTCCAAGTATCCACCACTGCCTCCACTACAGTCAAGAACACCACCAGTAAGGGACACCTCTGAAACAACCATGGGAGGGGTATACACAATCCCTTGCAAAGACTGTAACCAAATGTATGTGGGAGAAACATCAAGAGACCTCCACATAAATTTCTGAACATAAATATGGTAGCAGAATGGGCTGAACAATGCCTGTTTCTTGTAGAAACTCTCACAACCATCTGATCAATTACAACAGTGCACAACTCATTGTTGAATAAGACACTTCAAAATGCAGGATTCTCTAGTCATCCCTAATCAGCATATCGAACTACTTCAGCCAAAACAACGGCATCTACAACATAGCTGAACCCCTTGCCAAGAAGTTTCTTCATTGCTGTTTCATACAGCAACAGGTCACAGCATGGAGAAACACTGCAGCAGGCTTAAAGGCCCATACAAACAGAACTTTCTCAAATCCAACCTCTCCTTAGCCATATATTTGTCCAACCTGTCATCACTACCCAGTTGTTTTCAACATAACTCACCTGACTTTAGGTCACTACTCTCACTACATACATATGCACACCCTTTCTTTCCAGGTGGGTGAAACATTGTCAGTAAAGGATCACATTACTGCTTTTGTGTCTTCTTCCATTAATCCAACAGCCATAACTATCCATCTTAGCCCACTAAGGCTACAGCAATCCTCTCCATTCACTTGAAGATTACAGTATAATGTACCAGCAACGAGACCTTTATTTTTTTTTTTTTTTTATTATCACACTGGCCGATTCCCACCAAGGCAGGGTGGCCCGAAAAAGAAAAACTTTCACCATCATTCACTCCATCACTGTCTTGCCAGAAGGGTGCTTTACACTACAGTTTTTAAACTGCAACATTAACACCCCTCCTTCAGAGTGCAGGCACTGTACTTCCCATCTCCAGGACTCAAGTCCGGCCTGCCGGTTTCCCTGAACCCCTTCATAAATGTTACTTTGCTCACACTCCAACAGCACGTCAAGTATTAAAAACCATTTGTCTCCATTCACTCCTATCAAACACGCTCACGCATGCCTGCTGGAAGTCCAAGCCCCTCGCACACAAAACCTCCTTTACCCCCTCCCTCCAACCTTTCCTAGGCCGACTCCTACCCCGCCTTCCTTCCACTACAGACTGATACACTCTTGAAGTTATTCTGTTTCGCTCCATTCTCTCTACATGTCCGAACCACCTCAACAACCCTTCCTCAGCCCTCTGGACAACAGTTTTGGTAATCCCGCACCTCCTCCTAACTTCCAAACTACGAATTCTCTGCATTATATTCACACCACACATTGCTCTCAGACATGACATCTCCACTTCCTCCAGCCTTCTCCTCGCTGCAACATTCATCACCCATGCTTCACACCCATATAAGAGCGTTGGTAAAGCTATACTCTCATACATTCCCCTCTTTGCCTCCAAGGACAAAGTTCTTTGTCTCCACAGACTCCTAAGTGCACCACTCACCCTTTTCCCCTCATCAATTCTATGATTCACCTCATCTTTCATAGACCCATCCGCTGACACGTCCACTCCCAAATATCTGAATACATTCACCTCCTCCATACTCTCTCCCTCCAATCTGATATCCAATCTTTCATCACCTAATCTTTTTGTTATCCTCATAACCTTACTCTTTCCTGTATTCACTTTCAATTTTCTTCTTTTGCACACCCTACCAAATTCATCCACCAATCTCTGCAACTTCTCTTCAGAATCTCCCAAGAGCGCAGTGTCATCAGCAAAGAGCAACTGTGACAACTCCCACTTTATGTGTGATTCTTTATCCTTTAACTCCACGCCTCTTGTCAAGACCCTCGCATTTACTTCTCTTACAACCCCATCTATAAATATATTAAACAACCACGGTGACATCACACATCCTTGTCTAAGGCCTTCTTTTACTGGGAAATAATTTCCCTCTTTCCTACATACTCTAACTTGAGCCTCACTATCCTCGTAAAAACTCTTCACTGCTTTCAGTAACCTACCTCCTACACTATACACCTGCAACATCTGCCACATTGCCCCCCTATCCACCCTGTCATACGCCTTTTCCAAATCCATAAATGCCACAAAGACCTCTTTAGCCTTATCTAAATACTGTTCACTTATATGTTTCACTGTAAACACCTGGTCCACACACCCCCTACCTTTCCTAAAGCCTCCTTGTTCATCTGCTATCCTATTCTCCGTCTTACTCTTAATTCTTTCAATAATAACTCTACCATACACTTTGCCAGGTATACTCAACAGACTTATCCCCTTATAATTTTTGCACTCTCTTTTATCCCCTTTGCCTTTATACAAAGGAACTATGCATGCTCTCTGCCAATCCCTAGGTACCTTACCCTCTTCCATACATTTATTAAATAATTGCACCAACCACTCCAAAACTATATCCCCACCTGCTTTTAACATTTCTATCTTTATCCCATCAATCCCGGCTGCCTTACCCCCTTTCATTTTACCTACTGCCTCACGAACTTCCCCCACACTCACAACTGGCTCTTCCTCACTCCTACAAGATGTTATTCCTCCTTGTCCTATACACGAAATCACAGCTTCCCTATCTTCATCAACATTTAACAATTCCTCAAAATATTCCCTCCATCTTCCCAATACCTCTAACTCTCCATTTAATAACTCTCCTCTCCTATTTTTAACTGACAAATCCATTTGTTCTCTAGGCTTCCTTAACTTGTTAATCTCACTCCAAAACTTTTTCTTATTTTCAACAAAATTTGTTGATAACATCTCACCCACTCTCTCATTTGCTCTCTTTTTACATTGCTTCACCACTCTCTTAACCTCTCTCTTTTTCTCCTTTAGATAATAAAATTTTATGTACATACCCTGTTTAGCTACACAATCTTTTTCATTGTTTAAACTTAACTATAGTATAGCATATGGTCATGTCAACAGATATGTTACATAAGAAAAGTTATTATTTTTAAAAAATTAAGAAAGTTAAACAGTTTGGCATTTTTTTAAAGGTGTCAATAACACAACCCTATTTTCCTATATTTTCTCATATCTTCACACCACAAGTTCCAATGTCACTAGTGCAGATTTCCATATTTCCACATTTGTTTCGTCTATTGAATATCATATTTAGTAACTTTTATTTTTAGGGATGGTGATTTGTTTCTTTCATGAACCAGGGATGTGCAGTAAACAATATTTTTTTAAGCATACATAGTACAGCTAAAGTAATTGCCTTAATTAATACTGTGTATTGAAAAAATCATATTTATGCTGTCAGATTATATGGAGAAAATGCTAAACATGAGTTTTGTTTATAATATCAGGTATACTTCATGAGCCATTAAGTTTGTGACGTAAGTTCGTATATTTGTTCATTTTTTAATATCTTCCCTAACTTTTGGTTATAGTTTTTAAGGTATGCATTGCACTTTCTTACATATCTTCTAATCATGCTTCCAAACTTTGTCCCAAAATTAAACACTTAAATAAACCAATTTTTTGTTTTGTGATGCGTATGCGTAAAGAATGTTTAAAATTTGACACGACTTTAAATGCATTACAGTGTAATTCTTTATAGTAAAGCATGTTAATATCATTAAAAATAATAATGTTTTGTTTCTAATTTGATTTGTGAGATCTGTATCAGTAATATAAACTAATAATAAATAAATTGTAGCTAGCTTTATGTTGACATGTTTATGCATACAAGTTTGCTCAGTGCTCTTCTAGTTTAAAAAACTGGTATGATAGTCGAGAATGTACTGTACTGTGTTATTTAATTCGCCACCATAACCCCATTAGGTGTGGGTATGAATAAATGTTAAAGGTTAGTTGTGTTGTCATTATTATTAGCCTGGTGTCTACCAGTTCTTTCATCACTTGCTCACTGATCATCATTTTATTTTATGATATCATCCACACAAAACACAGGTACTGCAGAGTTCGTGGCTCCTGAGATTGTCAACTATGAGCCGCTGTGTCTGGCCACAGATATGTGGGCCATTGGGGTCATAACATATATCTTGTAAGTTATACAATATACACAGTATCAGTACAATGCCTTTAGGTTAATGTTGGCATCACACCATCAACAGTGTAAGTTCTTTTATATTTATAAATATTTTAGCTCAGTGTTATGTATAATGGATTTCATTGCTTACGTTAAATGTATCAAGGGTTCTCTTATATTTTTTAACAATCCAGCTGACTCCCTCCAGGACTCAGGCCAGGCTAACTGGTTTCCCTGAATCCCTGCATAAATGTTACCTTGCTCACACTACAACAGCACATCAAATCACAAAAACCACTTGCCTCCACTAACTCCTTTCTAACATGCTTGCACAAATCTGTTGGATTTCCAAGCAGCCAGCACTCAAAAACCTCCTTTATCCTCTCCCTTTAATATTTCCTAGGATGACCCCTATCCATCCTTTCCTCCACTGCAGATTTATATACCCTCCTAGTGATCCTGTTTTCTTCATCCTCTCCAAATGTCCTAATCACCTCAACAACCCCTCCTCTTCTCTCTGAATAATACTCCACACCACCTAATCTCCAAACTCTGAATTCTTTTCATAACATTTACACCACACATTGCCTTCAAATATGACATCTCAATTGCTTCCAGTCTCCTCCTTGATGCAACATTCAAAGCCCATGCTTCATACCCATACAACAATGTTGGTACCACTATACACTGATATATTTCTCATTTTGCATTATGGATAAAGTTCTTTGTCTCCACCTGTTTCCCTTCGTCAGTTCTGTGGGTTACCTTATCTCTCATAGAACCATTTACAGAACAAATATCTGTGCACATTTACTTTCTCCATACTCCCTCTTTCTTATTTGATAACCAATCTCTCATTGACTATATTTTTTGATACTCTCGTTACCTTGCTTGCTCTTTCCTTTGTTTACTTTCACTGTCCTCCTTTTGCATACAATCCCAAATTTGTTTACCAAAGTTTGCAACTTCTCTTCTGAATCTCTGAAAAGAACTGTGTCAGCAGCAAAAAGCAGAGTTGTGGCACCTCACACTCCATACCTTATTAATTTTCTTTTAATACCACACCTGTCCCTAACACTGACATTTACTTTTACAGCCCCATGTATGAATATGTTTAACCGTATATATACGTCTTACGAGCCAGTGTTTCGGACGTATATATACAGTGGTCCCTCGATAATCGTCGGGTTCGATAGTCATCCTTTTCGGAAATCGTCGCGTTATTTTCGTCCAAACATTGGCTCGCAAATGGTCGGTTGACTCGCTAATCGTCGTTCGTCATGGACGCGTACTCACGGCTCTGAGCCGCCTTGGCCTCCCTTCCCAGCCAGTGTGCCATTGTTTACCAGTGAGCGAGGGTCCCCTCACTTGTTCATACGAAATATTTCATAATATTCCATTCATTTTAGTGCTTGCAAGTGCTAAATAAGCTGCCATGGTTCCAAAGAAAGCTCCTAGTGCCAAGCCTTTGGTAAAGAAGGTGAGAAATATGATTGAATTTAAGAAAAACATCATTGAACAATATGAAAATGGCGTACGTGTGGCTGAACTGGCCAGGATGCATAACAAACCCCGTACAACCATATCTTCCATCGTGGCAAAGAAAAAGGAAATCAAGGAAGCTGTTGTTGCTTGGAGAAAATTGTGGCCAGATTGTGTCCACAAGAGGGATTTTTAAGGGTTTGTGGCTGACCCTGATGAGCCTCTATCAGTTGTGAAATCTATTGTGGCATTGGGGAGTTCCATGGGGTTGGATGTGAGTTTGGAGGATGTGGAAGAGTTGATGGAGTACCACAAGGAAGAGCTAACCACTGAGGAGCTGCAAGAGCTTCAGCAGGAACAGCAACAGATCGCAGCTCAGAATCTTGCTGCAGAGGAGGAGGAAGAGAGATGGAAGAAGGTGCCTTCTTCAGAAATTAAGGAAATTTTTGAAATGTGGGATAGGATGGAAAGATTTATGGAGAAACATCACCCTGAGAAGGATGTTGCAAGCCATCTCGGCAACTTGTACAGTGACAGTCTTGGCCCATTTTTGGAAAGTTTTAAAGAGACGCCAGAAACAGAGCTCTCTGGACACTTTTTTTGCGAGACAGGATTCCAGTGACTCTCAAGGTGGTCCTAGTGGCATTAAGAAACAGAGAAGAGAAGTATGTAACCCCAGAAAAGGACTTGGTACCTGAGGTGTTGATGGAAGGGGATTCCCCTTCCAAACAGTAACTAATCTGCCTCGCATGGGCCAGTAGGCCTTCTGCAGTGTTCCTCCATTCTTATGTTCTTATGTTCTAATCCAATCTCTCTCGTCCTCCAGTCTTCCATACACTAAGAAGAATCGCCAGTAAAGGTAAGTGTTATGCTGTTAATGTTTCATTCATCATGTCCCATTGTATTGTTTATGTACTACATCTATATTTCATGTAAAAAATTTTTTTGTTTTAATACTTCTGGGTGTCAGGAACGAATTAATTGTATTTACATTATTTTTTATGGGGAAAATTGATTCAAAAATCGTCTACAGTGGACCCCCGGTACCCGATGGCATCGGTATATGTTAAATTCGGTATTCAATACATTTTAACGCAAAAATTTTGCCTCACCACTTGTTAAAAAACCCGCCACACGCAACTCATCCAGGACGTGTCCACGTGAGTGCCAGTGTTTACAAGCCAGCCAGTGTGCTCACATCTAAGCATACATTCGGTACATTCCATATTATCAGTGTTTTTGGTGCTTGTTTCTGCAAAATAAGTCACCATGGGCCCCAAGAAAGCTTCTAGTGCCAACCCTGTGGTAAAAAGGGTGAGAATTAGTATGGAAATTAAGAAAGATTTTGAAGGGTTTGGGGCTAACCCTGAGAAGCCTATGCCAGTTGTGGAATCCATTGTGCCTACTTCAAAAATTAAGGAAATGTGTGCAAAGTGGGTTGAACTGCAAACCTTTATGGATGAAAATCACCGTAACACAGCTATTGCAAGCCGTGTTGGTGACTATTACAGTGACAATGTTGTGGCCCATTTTAGACAAATCGTAAAGGAACGGGAGGTACAGAGCTCTATGGACAGATTTGTTGTGTGACAGAGGTCCAGTGACTCTCAAGCTGGTCCTAGTGGCATTAAAAGAAGAAGGGAAGTAACCCCAGAAAAGGACTTGCTACCTCAAGTCCTAATGGAAGGGGATTCCCCTTCTAAACAATAAGTTCAACACTCTCCCCTCCTCCCATCCCATCATTCATCACCAGATCTTCATTAAAGGTAAGTGTCATGTATTCTATTGTTAGTAGAGCACTACTAACTGTGCATGTCTTCTTCAGTTTGTGTGCATTAAACTTAATATTTCATGTGGTAAAACTTTTTTTTTCATAGTACTTTTGGGTGTCTTGTACGGATTAATTTGATTTCCTTTATCTCTTATGGGGAAAATTAATTCGCCTTCCGATAATTTTGGCATACGATGAGCTCTCAGGAATGGATTAATATCGTATACCGGGGGTCCACTGTATTTCGATAAGCGTCGCACTTCCAGGAACGGATTAACGACGATAAACAAGGGACCACTGTACTCAATAATTCTGGTGGCTTCAAATCAAGCAGGAGAAAGCTGGTAGGCCCACGTGTGAGAGAATGGGTCTGTGTGGTCAGTGTGCACTGTATAAAAAAAATCCTGCAGCACGCAGTGCATAATGAGAAAAAAAAAACTCCGTGTTTTTAGATTAAAACACCGACTTTGAGGTGTATTTTCATATAGTATTTATGGTTGCATTCTCGTTTTCTTGATCTCATTTGATAGAATGGAAAACATATTACAGAAATAGAGATGATTTTGATTAGTTTCTGATGAAAACTACCTTGAAATTGAGCTCTGAGTAGTGGAAATGTTTGATTCTTACCAGTGTTCAAGAGTAAACAAGTCACACCACATGTCCAATGCACGTCAACCGGGAGTCTAATATTCTTTCACTAGTGCACTGATATTAGTTACACCATTTTTACAATAATGCAGTAGTCTGCATGACAGTAAATCTTCTATTTTTTTGTTTAAATAAAAAATAAAAATAGAAAGCAAGAGTAATATAAGAGGGGCCTGGAGATGTGACTGATGAACAGAGGATATGTTATTTTAGTGCCAAGAATGTTGGCATTGTTTATTCTGGACCCAATTTTGAAATTGGCATCTTTTTTAATTTGCATGAAATTGGCCAAATTGCCAATTTCTGATCACTTTCTTGGGTAGTTGAAATTGGCAAATGGGCAGTTTTTTGTACTCAGTTGATAGAAAAAATAGAGTTCTAAATAAATAGCTATGAGTTTGGTTGACTGGAACAATGGAATTGGCCAAAAATAGGGCTCAAAGTCGGAGAAATTGCCAAGATTGCAAACCTCACAGGAGTGTAATTCTGTAAGTTTTTGATCAAATTTTGTACTTTTGGTGTCATTAGCATCGGAAAAAGATTCTCTGTCATTTCATAAGAAAGAATAATTTTTTTTTCTAAATATTTTGCAACATAGAATGACATTTTCAGAAATGGGCTTGCAACAGTCAAAGGGTTAACAACCATGGTGACATCACATATCTCTAAGGCCTACTTTCACTGGAAAATAATCCCCTCTCCTACATACCTTTGCTATTCACATAAAAGCTCTTTGCTGTTTAACCCTTTCACTGTTTGTCAAGTAGAAATACATCATCGAGGCCAAAGTCCCTGACGTAGTTCTTCACCATGAGCTCAGCTCACTCAGATAAGGTGTGAGCAGTAAATTTTGGCCTAGATATGCGAGAATGGGTTTGTGCAGTGAGTGTGCACAATATAAAAAAAAATCCTGTCCCCACATGGTACATCTTGGGAAAAAGAAAACTGGCTGTGTGTATGGGTTAAAATAGTGATTTTGAGGTGTTTTCTCAGATAGTTTTTGTGGTTTTATAGGTATCATTTAATAGAATGGAAGATGTACTACTGAAATAGAGATGATTTTGATTGGTCTCAGGATAGGAAGTAACTTGAAATTGAGCTTGATCATAGT